ATAAGAGAATTGAAGTGAAACTTGAGGACTTTTTGGTTTCAAAAAAGTTTGTAGTTGTATATATATTGTATATGGAAATACTATTACCAAAAAATAACAATTTTAAACCGCTTTGTGACTCTGGTCTGTGAAAGGCGGTATATAAATAAAGATTACTTACTTACTATTAAAAATAGTTGGCAAATTGAAACATTTGTTTTATAGTTGCTGTCCTTAGTCCCCTAGTCAAGTCCCTTTGTTGCATACACATAGCAGCTTCGGCACAAACCATTTTTTCTCAGTATCACTACATTGTAAAGCAGTTAATTAAAGCCTAGATCTCCACTGTATTTTCAAGTTTTTTCCCCATTCATCTGCATGTATGTTTTTGAAGGCTTTCTGAATCTCTACATCTGGTCTTGCTGTAACAGCCCTAGAAGCTAAACAGAAGTTTCGGAAGTACATCTCTTAGTGTGACACGCATATAGGAGCAGTAATTAGCAGGCTCACTAGCTCTAATTAGCTGGCTTAAATGGAAAGGGGCTATTGCTAGCTGTCCTTTTGATGTGGATGGGAAATGCTGTATGCAAATGTCTTTTTTGTTGCAACGTTTGTGCATTTTCAAGAGGGCCGCAATGGGACCAACGCAAAGGCTTCAGATCTCCTGAGTCATTGGCCTATACAGGATTAAACAGAGCTAGGAAAGGGCCTTTATTTTAAGTGATAACTGGGCTAAATATGTATCTAATTTTCCGCCTAAGTCAGACTGCACTTGTATATAAGGACTAGTTTAAAGACCTTATGACGGGTTTAAAAAAAAAAAATAGTGGATATCAAAATTGCATGACAATGTCAATTTGAAAGAGATTCCGGCAAAAAAATCCTATATTTTATAAAAAGAACGTGTTTTTCATGAATTTAAGTTGTCTATGCTCTAACCTGTGTGTGACGTCATAGCGGGTTACGCCCATGCATTGAAAACCATGGATCTATGCCACAGGACTGCCTTTTCTCTCTTCTCTCCACTGATGCCCAACACAATACTGCCCTCTACAGGTGACAATTGCTCACTACACATAAATTGCCGTTTTGAGTGTGAAAAAGTGTCCAAGGTGGGATTTGAACCCAAGTATATGGATTGGCAGTCCATCGACACAACCACTGGACTATCTCAGTGACAATGAAATGTTACATTCTAGTAATTATGTCAAACTCGCTGTACACGGCCTTGTCCTCTTGATTATCCGCGAAAAAAGAACAAATACCAAATTGTAAACAACTTACAGCGTTGAAACGTACCCGTTCTGACGTCACCAAGGGCTGTGAAGTTTTTTCGTTTCTAAGGGCGTTGCTATGGGGTTATTTCGATTTGGGGGGGATCAGACAAAAAAAACAACTGATTTTGAAACCTTTAGTAGTTCTCTTCTAATATAAAATGGTATTAAAACTGTATTTCTAAATAAATCAAACCCGTCATAAGGTCCTTAACAACACGTCCTATATGTTAGAAACCATAATAAACAAAGCATTTATCTAAGGTTTGGTTGAGCTTCATAGTCAAGTTTAGGGAAGTAAGTGATGCATGAGTGAAAAATAAGTCTATTGAGGCACACGGACAACACATGTGTTTCTGATGAAGGGTATTATGAACAAACTTTCTACGAGATTATTTTCTCTGTTAATACAAAATGAAGACGGGTGACGCTACTAGCAAGAAGCAACTCAACTCATACAAGGCATTAAAATATTAATCACAGTACATAAAAAAGAGAGACGATACAATCTTTTGGTTGTATGCACACCAGTTAAAAACAGAACTGTTTTTAACCTGGATTTGATCCTTTTCAGAGTAGAAGCCTGTCTCACATTTTCAGGAAGACAGTTCCAGATTTTAGCTGCATGAATCTGAAACGCTTTGATTTGCTCTGTCAAGTATTTACTGTGCACCACATATTTCTTACGTCCCATTTCATTACTTGTTACGTGATTTTACTTGTTTATGTGTTTTGCATGGGTCCAAAAGTGTTCTACTTTTCTTATGTTTATAAAAATGCATTTGTGTCTGGATCAATCAATATGGCCATTACCTTCTCATATATTGCCCAGCTCTAGTGGAGAGTAAACCGTAAATTAAACTGTGGTTGTTTTCCTGAGTAAATAGGCTTTTTAAATACTGTAGCATGTGAAAAGTGTATTCTTCAACTAAGCCCATCACCACTTACTACTTGCTGCTGTATATATTGTATAAACATATCCGATATTGTAGAGCTGTAGCCTCGAGCTTCAGTCACTGCAATGCATTCAGGTGGCTAAATCCGTGTGCATTGTGGTGATTTGAGCCAAAAAAAATCTCTCCATTATACAGCACGGCCCCAGTCTGGACATGACTATTACCTGGGTGCCTGTGGAGTTTGTCTCGGCGGGTTTTGTGTGTCTAATCTCTCGAAGGATGCCATACCTGGATTAGGACACACTCTCAAAAGGGGCGGGATGTGGAAGCCGCAAACAATATTTTGATTTCGTTGCTAATCTGGTCCAGTTTTCCCACACAGAATAAAGTAACTGCAACCTGAGGCCCTGCCAATCATCCACTGGAGAATAATTGGTTGACAGTCTAGCAGAATAGGTCATTAGCTCAGAGTATCATCATTAACTGAAAGAACGGCTTCGATAAATCTTTATTTCCAGCCAATGTGCAGGCTAATTTGTTTTCTTCCGAGCATAAGCGCTGGTTTGGCCATCCAAACATTAGGCATTGATTCATAGCAGCGGTCTGTCGGAGGCCACTGCATTCGGGATTGGATTTTGTGTGGAGTTTTTGGCAGACGGTGTGAACAGGTAGTCGCATATTTTCAACAGATCTATTACCTGTGGGAAAGAAAATCAACACAGAAGTTATATTGCATGAAGCTGTGTGGCCTAGGCTGCACAACACAAGTGAGACGGATCCTGAAAATAGACTTTTAAAGCTTCGGACTGCTTTCTCTCTAGATTCAATCGTAGATGTCTTTGTTGACCTTCAAAATGTGCTTGTTTTTATTGCACTGTAAAAAGTGAGTGAACTAATTTTCTGGTCTGTGTGGCAAATCTAAGGATTTGTAAAAAATAAAAAAAATAAAACTGTAAACTTCAGACAGCGCCAATGCTTCCTCTTGGCAAAATGGATTAACATACAACCCCCTTCGTCCAGAGCCAAAGGTGAATTAAAATGCAACTAACCAAAATGTATTAAAGCCACATATGATTCATTAAAATGATTACTTAAAATAACATTCCAATGACACGTACCTAAATCATTATTAAAGCCAATAAAATCCAAGTAAAGCCTGTAATGTATACTTTCATGCTCTGTCAGTATGAAAATGTACTTTACTGACTATAAATGCTTTTTGAAAAAGGTGGTCCTCGACTCCTGCCTTTCGCAGCGGCGTTCCATAGAAAGCGAGCTGATTGTCCTGAGGCTACAGTCTAAACTCGCGCTGCCCCTCCGCTCTGCTCAAGGCTGAAGCTGTGAGGCGCATTTACTCATTTTCTGAACTTTCTGAGAATGTTTTGGCACAGAAATGTCTCATCCATTACAAGCACTTGATGAAGGAGGTGGGGGAACTGTACGAACTGTTTTTACACTGGCAGTGTCTATGTTTCTAGTCCATGTTTTGTCGTCAGCATATTTGTACCATTCTAACATAACTATATAATCAATACAGCGAGTCCACCATATTAGAGATTTGTGGGGGATTCCACCAGTTTCTTATACAAAGCAGATTTAGGATACAGATATGTCGATATGTTTGTAATAAGAAATGAAGCAAGTCAATGTTGCAAAAATCCACAATGCTGACGACGAGCACGAGCAAAGATATATGACGGTTGATGCCATGACGGAAAGATCAATAGATTCCACCTGAAATTACAAGGTAGAAACACATATTTGGTTTGCTGTTCATCCATTGATTTGTATCTATTGATGTTGTACCTTGTATTAATAATGTCTTATACAGTATTGAGTTGCCATACTTTTGACATAAGAACCAACCAAACATTGTATTTTCATTGGGGTTTTTTCTAGGGCTGTGCCGTGTAGGGGAAAAAAAATAATCGCAAAACCGGCCGCCCCTATGATAATCACCTGCCAAACTTGAGATTGATCGTTATTATTATTATTGAGTAAACACCACTATTATTGCTGGTAACGTTGAGGTTTGGTGGGAGCTGAGGTGCGAGTTGGCTACTGTGGTTCATTTTGTCACAAAGAAGGAAACAAATGTGACTGTTCGTAGTAGTAGTAGTAGTAGTAGTAGTAGTGGTAGTGGTAGTGGTAGTGGTGGTGGTGGTGGTGGTGGTGGTGGTAGTAGTAGATAATAATAAAATCTTCATGACTGTACAGAACATAAAAATTATGATGTTGTCGAGAATGAGGATAGACAGTCATAATTTTATACAATATAATTTATAATTGTTGTCGTTGTTGTTGAAATAGTTGTGTTACTGACCAGGCAGCCAAAGGGAATGTATGTGTATGTAGATGGGGTGGGAGTTCAAGTCCACTCCATTTCAGGTCTCTACAGTGGTGAAGAGGAAAATGTATATCAGTGTATTTACGTCAAATATCGTGAACCACAACTCCAGACCTTTAACATTTAAAAGAAGAATTGTATGATACATGTTACTTTTTGATGCCAAGTGAATTGGGTGCAGCTCTGACTGCCACCCCCCCGACCCAGAAATGGATTAAGGGGAAGAAGATGGATGGATGGATGGATGTTACTTTTTGAAACATACACTCGCCTCTTGTGTGATGTGTGTTAAAAACTACATGTTACTTCATCTCAGGGCACAACACTGTCTAAAGAAACCAAATATACTCATCGTCCCCACCACTGTACTGGTTACAGTATCGACGTTGGCTTGTATCCTGGTTCTCAGAAGTGTCTTATGACCGCTCGGACACATCTTAATAGTTTGTTGTTGGAGTTGACTGCCCTTCTAACACCCTCTTGCTCTACTCTCTCTCCCGTCAGATGATGAAGCACGCCTGGGACAGCTACCGACGCTACGCCTGGGGTTCCAATGAGCTGCGGCCCGTCTCTAAGCAAGGCCACTCCAGCAATCTGTTTGGTGAGTCCCACATTTTACATCAGCAATCCCTCATCAACTTTATCAAGTCAGGGTTTGTACCCTTTGTTTGTGGAGCTGCTCATCATTGTTGTTGATGTAAGTAAGTAAGTGATCTTTATTTATTTATATACAGCCTTTCACAGATTTACAATTGTTATTTTTGGGCATTTGTCTCTCACTCCACACAGAGATGGGAGCGGGGTCGCCTGTACAGGAGGCGCATGCCAGACCTATTGTACATGTTTTTAGTGGTAGGGGAAACCGGAGTACCCGGGGGAAAGCTACGCAGACACAGGGAGAACATGCAAACTCAACTAAGAAAGGATTCGAACCCATCCTTTCTGTGTATCGTGTGTATCGCTGTGTATCGTGTATCGCTGCATCTAACAACTTTGTGCACTCAATATACAATATAGCCACAAGCATAGGGCTGTACAATATTGGAAATTAGAGCGATATTCGATATGAGTGTTTTAGTATTGCGATAAAGATATTATTGCGATATTTTTTTCTTTCACCTATAATTGCAATCTGCTTTGAAACGCAAGAGACAAATAACAAAAAATAAGCACAACATTAATGACATTCAAATGCATCTATTAATATACTTTTTTTGTTTGTTTGTTGTATTTGTTGAATGTGTCTGTTTGTTCCTTTTAATTAAGGAAAAATATATATATATATATTCCGTATATTTTTTAAATGGATATCGCACACACCAATATTGCAATAAAAAGTATTCACCCCCCTTGGCTTTTTACCTTTTTTGTTACATTGGTGAGTCCCACATTTTACATCAGCAATCCCTCATCAACTTTATCACACCAATGTTTTTTTAATATGAATTGCATGTGATGGATCAGAAAACAATAGTCTAAGTTGGTGAAGTGAATTGAAAAAAATATATACATAAAACTATTTTTCAGAAATAAAAACCTGGAAATTGGCATGTGCATACAGTATGTATTCACCCCCTTTGTTATGAAGCCCATAAAAAGCTCTGGTGCAAACCAATTACCTTCGTAATGTGCAATCTAAGTGTCACATGATCTGTCAGTATATATACACACTTTTTTTGAAAGGCCTCAGAGGCTGCAACACCTAAGCAAGAGGCACCACTAACCAAACACTGCCATGAAGACCAAGGAACTCTCCAAACGAGTAAGGGACAGTGTTGTTGAGAAGTACAAGTCAGGGTTAGGTTATACAAAAATATACAAATCTTTGATGATCCCCAGGAGCAACATCAAATCTATCATAACCAAATGGAAAGGACATGGAACAACAGCAAACCTGCCAAGAGACGGCCACCAAAACTCACGGACCGGGCAAGGAGGGCTCTACAAAGTATTGATTTTATGGTGAATAGTTATGCACATTGACCTTTTCCATTATTTTGTCCCATTTGTTGTTTGCTTCACAATAAAAAAAATACAACATCTTCAAAGTTGTGGGCATGTTCTGTAAATTAACTGATGCAAATCCTCAAACAATCCATGTTAATCCAGGTTGCGAGGCAACAAATCACACAAAATGCCAAGGGGGGTGAATACTTTTGCAAGGCTCTGTATGAGTCTGATTGTGTATTCATGTTATGACTATAATATGAATACACAATCAGAGTCCTTGTAGAGTCTTGAGTTTGTCCTGCGTATAGCTATCTAATCCTCGTAATTTTTTTCCTCGTAATTTTTTTCTATATATCGTGCAGCCCTGCCACAAGCTGAGTGCCAGTTGTTGTGAAGGCAAGGTTTATTTGTGTTGCACAGTTCATACACAAGACAACTCAAAGTGCTGAACAAAACAAGAAAAACATTAAAGTCGTCAATAATCGCAGTACGTTAACAAGTGAAGATGCCATCCTTCAGTTGTTGCAGCTGTACAGAACGATTTTTCACATGCATATGAACGTAGAAAAGAAGTCTCACAAAAGTTTACTGATTTTAGCTGCATTAATGTTATATTTTGCTACCCCATGTTTAGTCTGGATTTTGGGCATCATCAGGTGGCCAGTCCCTATGCTCCTCTGAGTCAGAGTTTGTTCATATGGCAAACAAACATGTTAGGAATGTACTTTAGTGCAAGGCCATGGAGAGACTTGCTTCGAAGCCTATTCTCTGAGCCACAAGGCAGAGAGAAAAGGCAGATTCCCAAGAAATGAACAAACAGATCATGAGATGGTGGATTTTAAATATTCAATCTCTGCTCGGTCCAATTATAAATGCCACTCCCTTTGAGTTTTGTATAATTTTTTATCCACTGTATATGTATGTGTGTGTATGTTCAAAGAAATTGAAATATGTATAGGCTTATAGTCTCAATTCAATTCAAGTTTCAATTCAGTTTATTCTTCTTCACAGCATCACACATTCCTTCAATTACGGCATGTGTAAAAGTTATATGTTGGGAACAAACCATGCCGTATTTATTGTATGACTTTTTTCATTTCAGAACCAGGAACTAGTAACATCGATTGTATTACTATGTTCCTCTTATGTTTGACATATAGGTACTCCAGCTTTAGATAAACAAAATAGATAATAGAATTATATATTATCAATTTAATGAATATTTAATGCATTGTCTTTAAACTAACTGTTTTGCCAAAGTTCACTGTGATTAAGGTGAACGTAAAGGTGAATGCATGTTAAGAGGTCAATGGGTTACTTGCTAACCGTTGTCTTTCATGTTTGCATTGTTAATGGATGTCCATTTGGGATGGGAATCTTGGGTCTCTGTCCGATTCGATTTACATCTTGATTAGGGGTGCAACGGTTTGAAAAAATCACGGTTCGGTTCTTACCTCGGTTCAGAGGCCACGGTTCGGTTCATTTTTCACACAAAAAGTTTTGTCTTTTTAATAAACACAGCTCATGTGGACTTGGCACCTGCTCTGACTGCCCCCCTGACCTAGAAATGGATAAGGGGAAGGAAATGGATGGATGGATGAAAGACATATTCCATCCAATTATGTCCATTTAACATAATTAATGAAAAACAACACAAAGTGCAACATAAGAAGGCACTTTATATTACCCTCATATATTAAACCACCTTCCTGATTCTCCCAAGGAGGCTGTCCGTTCTGGGCCCAGTCCAGCCTCATTCACTGCATTTATTTAATTTTTGGCATTATCAATTGTGACTGGAATATTAGTACTGGGCCTTTGTCTTCCATTCCTCCGCTGCTTGTGTCAGTAACTGCGCTGTGTGCCTGTGTGACTGTTGTAGAGGGGGCATGTCTGCAGCGGCAGACTTCTCATCTCCCAGTCTGCGGTGATGAAGTGAGCGGTTCCGCTCATGGATCTATTATAGGTTCCGCGGGACGTCCAAGCGTCAGTCGTGAGCGCAGCTGAGGATGCGCGGGAGAGTTGACTTTAGCCCGGTCTGACTGTGCGTAAAGGAGCTGCTTAAATGCCGCGGCAGTAAGCGGTCGTTGAGACGCTTTTTTTCACTCATGTCTTTCTTGTGCCACAGTGCTTACACATCGTGACAGTTTTGCCGAATATTAATTATCAGTATAGTTACAGTGAAGCCAAAATGCTCTCATACAGGGGATTTAAATGACGCGGGGCTTCCAAGCTCCTCCGTTCCTCCGCTCGCAATGACCGCGCTGTGTGTGGACTGAACAACGTGCGCACAACTTTTTTTTCATAAATCAAACCGTGGATCAGAACCGAACCGAAGACGTTGAACCGAACGGATCACGGATCAGTGATGAACCGTTGCACCTCTAAACTCGATACACTTGTCACCAATGGTGTAGGTTTGGTTCCAATCTTGGTGGGGACATTCACTACGACCTGAGTCTACACCCATTGACACGGGGTCCAGAGTTTCTCCCCCAGAATTTGTTGTGTAATCACACACTATATTTGCAATAGTGTGTTGCCTTCTATACTAAACTCAGCTGTAGACTGAATGAGAAGCAGTTAAGGATTTTTTCTAATAGTTAAAACAAAATCAATTGAATCAGAGCTTCTGAGTTTTGTGTTGCGTTCATTCTAACTTTGTCCACAAGATGGCTTAAATGTTTATAGTAAATAAGATAGTAAATATATCCTGTATTCAGGATCAGGCTGATATGGTTTACAACCTATCTCAAATATGCTGTCCCTGGCACTTTCTTGAGAGTGACTCTCATTGGCTGCCTCCTAAATAGCAAATACACAGTTATAAAACTTTAAAAAATCCCATATTTTATCTTCATAATTCCAGCCTCACCTGAAGCCCGCTTCGAAATCTGCCTGCACTACATCTTCCCTGAATACCTGAGTTCCCTATAATAAATAAAACACATTAAACAAATCAGATCTAATCATATACAAAATAAAACCACCAACAAAACCAAATAAATACTTTCAACCTCACCTGAAGCCCTGAAGGTCCAGCCACTTCCTCATCCTCTACCAGTACTGCACATTCCCTGTTTGTCTGACTTTCCTTTATGGTATTAATAAAAACACACATTCTACATTGAATAAAATGAAACCTAGGCATGGTACACCAGTCGCTAAATATCTCATGAAACTAGAATTGGTTGATGGGTCTAAGATTTTAACTGCTTAATCCTAACCTCACCTGGAGTCCTGTCTTGTCCTTGTCTTTATCTCCTTCTTGAATTTCCATTATATCTCTCAGAGTGTCCTATATTTAGTAAAATATTTCAGACAACACTTTTTGCATCATTATAGTAGTAAAATATGTTGTAATTGGCATAGGTAATTTCCAACCAAATGATGTTCTTTTAACTTTAGTATGATTCTATACTGACTTAAACCTAATCCAAATCTACATAATAGCCCTCACCTGAGGCTCTAACAGTTCAGGAACTGCTCTCGATACTTGAAATAAATCATGCTGTGGTCTTTCAATTTCCTATAATAAATAAAAACAGAGGAGAAAATATTGAATTAGAATCTACAGTGAGTAGCTCACTACATTGTTTGACATATACGATCAATCTCTTAAAAACAATTCATAGTCCCATGCATACCTAC